CTCTTGTAGCTCAGTGCCAGAGCGAGTAATTAAAACTGCGCTGTTTAAGGTTGGCCTGACAACACCGTGGAGAGTTTATCCCTCCCATCCAGGGTTAAGGCTCCGAGCTCCGCTTCCCAAGAGAAACACGTTAAAAGCATCAGAGGTTCAGTTTCCCAGAGCTGCTTCATCGTCATCGTCAGTGAACAACTGAGCGAGGAAGAGTCCCAGAAAGGATTCACATGTGTAAAAAGTCTGGTTATCACTCAGACTTGACGGGGTTCAGGATCATGTTCCATCAAGCAAGTTGTCAACAGGCACCACTGTCTGTTTAACCTGCCAAGATTCAGCTCAGTCCTTCACCAAAAACACACCAACAGCTGTAGATCACTGTTTGTCTCCCTGCACAAACCTTTTTCATGAAAAGACCCACAAACTGAGTCTCTGCCAACACAGGAGAAGCTGGTTGTGACTGTTGGCTGCTGAGATGTTAGATTCAACGACAGGACGGGTCCTGCAGAAAGGTACGAAAAATCACAAGTTCAGAAAAGTTACTGTAATTGAGGCTGACGTCGGTACGTTGGCTGTTAGTGCTGAACGTTTGTGGCAAAAAGCATCCAACAACTGGATTCTTGAAACTAACAGGAGATGAAACTTTGCATTTCTTCTGATCAAACCATTACAGGTTAAGGCGCCGACGGAGGCTCTGCTACTGTGGAGGAGCAGAGCAGTGACATCAGCCAGAGCAGATACTGCGTTGTTTGAGTTCTCTTCCCCAGAGTCGGTGTAAACCCAGAGACAGTGGAGTTAAATGTTTCAGTTACAGTCCGTCGTGGCTGTGGAAGCTGTTTCCTTTGATCAAAGCTTGTACTCACTCAGGGGGTAGCTTTACAAAGCAGGGCAAGGTAAAGGGAGCAGGGCTGCTTAGCCTGGCAGTCCAAATCTCTGAGTTCCACCAAGAGTACGAACATCCCAAAGGTAAAGTTTCATTTCCTGTTTAAGCCAATAAATCAGGACAGCAGCCAAAGCTACAGAGGCTGTGCTTCAGAACTGACAGCTCCTGCAGTATCAGACCGTTTCCCAAACAGAAGCATGAGCAATGCAGCAACATGAGCAAGTCACTAATGTTAGGGTTCAATTCCCAGGCTGTAGGACTGTAGGTGGTCGGGCTGGAGGGTAAAGTCTGTGAGGCTCTGTTTAGTGAAGTGGGGAGTAAAACGTGGTGCTGCCAGAGGTGGGTGGTTTCAGCCTGAGGAGGGGCTCATTTATCTGATCTTACATGTTAGGTATCCACTTCAGAGGCTGTTTAGGTTTCAGCTGGGATAAATCAAGCGCACCTCCAGTAGTCAGGATATTAAAGCCATATTTAGCTGGATGTTTTCTGCAGGACCTGGACGCTGCCCAGACAGCATGACAGATACATGGCCGGAGGGTCTGCAGTCATAAAAACAAGGTCGGTGAGTGTCGGCCTCCGGGGGGAGGGGGGTGACGAGGGCGAGCAACAGGAGGGCAGAGACAGAGACCGTGAGGAGGTAAAGATGTCCGTGAGGACTTCAAGACGCCAAAATATGAGTTTATAAGGGAACGAGAGAGAGTTCGTCTTGTAATCGGAAGGTTGCCGGTTCGAGCCCCGGCTCCGACAGTCTCGGTCGTTGTGTCCTTGGGCAAGACACTTCACCCGTTGCCTACTGGGGGTGGTCAGAGGGCCCGGTGGCGGCAGTGGCTATGATGTAGCTACGATGTAGCTGCCATCACCAGTGTGTGAATGGGTGGATGACTGAATGTGCAAAGCGTTTTGGGGTCCTTAGGGACCAAGTAAAGCTATACAAACAGAGGCCATTTACATCACAGCCTGGACTCAAACAGAGAAATGATGAAGAGAATAAACTGAAAGGACTGTCAGCTGATGTCACATCATCAGATTTGTTCCACTCAGGTTCATCGATCTCATTTAAGCACTTCTCATAGATCTGCTGATGAATCCCACCTGTTCCTCCATCTGTGTGAGCTTTCAGCACCTTTAAACTATTCAATAAACAAAACTTTTTCCTGTTTGTGGACAAAATTCATTCATAAGATCAAAAGAAAGAAATGAGAGCGTGGAGCTTTGGTTCCTGCAGAGACTCCAGCAGACGGTGCAGCTAAGAAGCCCAAAAAGAAATGCAAAAAGCCCTTTATGATGTCAGAAATCTTTAGTGACATCACTGAGCACACTGGCCTGAACACAAACTCAGCTGTTCCTCATATTCAAGGATTAGGCAGCATTGACCCTTGACCTCTTAAGACCAGATTGATTTTTCCATCAAAGTAAGTGAGAACATGAACCTGCACCGTGATCCAGGCCAGGCACAGTGAGGAACCATCATCATCATCATCATGCGCCTTCAAAGCTCGACGAACAGAGAGGCGGTGAGACAGATGGGCGAGCGAGAGGCCGTCCACCAGCGCCGAGCGTCTTTCCCGATCACTTCCAGGTTTGGGATGATGACCTCTGACCATCCTGATGAGGAGCTGCTGTGTGGACCAAGCAGCAGCTCTACAGTGGACTCATCTTCTTCTTTAATGGGATTATGGGATGGCTGCTGGTTTCCCTCACATACAGCCTTACAGTCAGGTTCATCCAGCTCCTCGCTGGAAGCTGGAGGAGAAATCAGTTCCAGAACGAAGACATTATCATGCAGAGCGGGTGATAAATCCCGGCACTCTGATTATGATTACAGTCAGGTATGGTAAACACACCAACATGGGAGACTAACTGAACTTTAATTGTGTTCAGTCTCCCTGCGCCAGCCCTCAGCAGCCACACAAGCGTCTGCTCTGAGCTCAGTATCCACGCTTTAACCACCCACTTGGTCCAGTCTGATGTCGTGGGATTCACCTGCACCACAAATTGAACTTTGACCCTCACAGCGTCTCTACTTTCTGTTCTTTCAGCTCAGAATCAGTTAACGAGTCGTTAATGTTAACAGACACTCGTGTTTCACACAGCGTGTCCTCGGGTGGGCCACCGTCAGAGCGCAGCAGCAACACCTGCGTCAGGGTCATCACAAAACGATGAAAACATAAAATGCAGGATGACTCGTGTTTCTGTGACAATCTGAGTCTGTTTCTGCATTTTTTCCTTCATTTTACCAAAACTAGTTATTATTTTTAGATTTATGCATTTAATCTTGTGTTATTGTACACCCATGCAGCATTTCTTCATTTAACTCTTCAAACATGTTCGTTTTTATATTTCTGTTTTAAATAAATGTTCCCGTTTCCTGCAACGGAGCCGAAAGGCTGACGAGACAAACGAAACCAGCCTCACGAAGCAGAAGAACAAAGCAAAGATGAACGAGTATTTAAATAAATAATCAACTAACCATATTAGATAATATTAACAATAATAATCAATAATAAATGAAGTAAGTTAAAATATGTCAGAGCCAAATAAATCTGTTTTATTAGATAAATATAAATAACACATCTCACTGTTATTTTTAATTTAGAGGCTTTTTTTAGAACAGATCTATTTTCTGTGGCGTATTGATCTCCCTGGACTTTCTCCCACACACAGACACATTACAGCGGCCTCGTGTCCTGTACGTGTAACGTGTGTGCTGCATGTTGCAAACCACCGAGCGAGCGTTCAGCTTCACAGCGAAGCAGAGCAGCTCACACTGTCCAAAGCTCACGAGCACAAAACTCATGCTGAAGAACGTCTAAATCCATAAATCATTCACTCCCAAAGGCTCCACGCGGGATGCATCGAACCTGACAGGCAGGGCGAGCTGGGGGCGGGGCTTAACCGGACTTTTTACCCTTTATTCATACGCCTAAATATTTCATGAATTCACTTTTGTCCCAACGACCTGTCCTGATAAAATCAAATAATCTCATGGACGGACCGGAGGAGCCGCCGACCCTCCCGACCGCTGATGTTCACGCTCATCAGCGGAGGAACATCCATCACACTCTGACGCCCACGTTTGCTTCAAAGGCCGGTCTGTGTAAACCTCGTAGCTCGTGGAAACTTTAAATCCAGAGTAAGAACCAGGAAACATCCGAATGAAAACAAACCCACGATCCACTTTTGCCCACTTAACTGCTCCATGATCTACGGCCCGGCAGACGGGAGATCTGATGTGGTTCCATCTGTTTACAGCCTGCAAATGGATGCTAATGAAGGCACGCCGGGCAAAACAGCGGCGGCCATGTAAACAGCGGCGCGGGAAACTGAATCCACTGAGCCGCTTTCAGCTGCAGTCTGAAAAAGCTTTTTTTTTGTAATTGCAGCCATCATGTGGGAGACATTTACTGCGAGAGAGATGTAGCAATTATGGAAAGCAAAATAAACGAGCGAGGAGCTGCTGTCGGCACGCTCGCCTCTGAGGCGGCGCCCGCAGCGACCTGCAGCCGCTGGCACTGCAGGGGAGCGATTTAAGGATCAATACGAGGATTTACGTTATCGTCGCCAGCTGGACCGCCGTGGCCTTCTGCGCAGGAACCTCACCCATCAGCTGATATTCAGAATCCCAGTGACAGTCCTAACTGGTCCCAGTACACCAGCCAGAACTGCAGACACACACATGACGACTTTGTCCAATCAGACCCATCTGAGACCGTAAACCTATCAGGACACGGTTAACAGACAGCAACAGGCTCACTCTCCAGCGCCCCCTGCTGGACTCGGTTAAAGCGCCTCTTCATATTCACAGCTCTGCTCTGTCCTGCAGGGGCTGATTGGTTCATGAGCTACACCTGAAACAGGTATGAAGGTTGGTGTGAGGGACAGAAAGCGGAGTCGTGACTGAGGACCACGGCGTCCGAGGGTCAAGCCGTCTGTGTGGACGAGGCCAGATGGACTTATGAGAAGTTAGGAGAAGCATCCTGTAAGCGAGGCGTGACCTCACAGGATGTTATGATGGCGAGATGTTCCCAGCCTTATGTTAGAAGCTGAGGGCGGAGTTCTGGACTTCCAGGGCTCCTGAACATGATCCACTGCTGTAACTCAGACGGGCGGTGCTAAAGGGCCAAAGATGAGCTGGAAGGAAGCTGCTCTGGTGACAGATGTGATGTAAGCCTGGAATAAAGTGACGAGTCCAGCACGGCTCTCAGGCTGCAAACCTCTGGGTCCACGTCGGGGAGTGAACTCCACCCACAGCCCAGAGCTCTGCTCCACATGCACAGGCGATGAAGCTGTGTATCATCAGCACAGCAATGGAAGCAGAGACCAGGATGATCTGACCGAGCTGCGTCGCAGCAAAGCAAGCAGAGCTGCAGCTCGGTTCATCGCAGCGTTCAGTCACCCCGACAGCGACGCAGCACGAACACATTTAGTGTCACGATGGCATCACCTGCAGGAGAGCGGGCAAAACGAGCAACGAGTCACATGACCACAGCTTCACACTGCTGTTGGTCCCAGATGTGTGGAAACATCTGCACCATCAGACAGTACTCACAGGTGTGTGTCTGTGAGTATGTGTGTGTGTGTGTGTGTGTGTGTCT